ACACACACACAGCACAGACCACACACACACACACACAGACATACACACACAGCACAGACCACGCACACACACACACACACACAGCACAGACCATGCACACACACACACACAGCACAGACCACACACACACACACACACACACACAGCACAGACCACACACACACACACAGCACAGACCACACACACACACACAGCACAGACCACGCACACACACACACATATACACATATACAGCACAGACCACACACACACACACACACACAGCACAGACCACACACACACAGCACAGACCACACACACACAGCACAGACCACACACACACACAGACACACACAGCACAGACCACACACACACACACTGCACAGACCACACACACACACACACACAGCACAGACCACACACACACACACACACACATATGCACACAGCACAGACCACACACACACACACACACACACACACACACACACACACATGCTGCACAGACCAGATACACCCCCCAGATACTCATATACCTACACGCACACACAGATTCATACACATAGAGATATATACACATACACAATGCACAATCCATAGAGATACACACACACTGCACGCACACACAGATTCAGAAAAAGGGCCCCAGCCATCGCTGTGGTCACCCCGACTCGCCTCACAACCACGCTTCGTGCAGACGCCTTTCCTTTGCTGTTGGGACGTGGCCCGGGGCGGGGGTGGGGATTTGCATTGTGGGCCGAGATATGGAAACTGGTCCCAAGTCAGGGGTTCAGGAAAAACACACAATTCTTTTCGGGTCTTCCCTTTCCCCCCAAACACCACCAAACGGATAAAAGCCCGCACAGCAGAGAGTGAGTAAAGGCGCACGGGAAGGAAAGTGCACGGCTGACGGGAAAGTTTGCTTTCTATGTTTAAGGGGCAATCTCAGGGTGGGGCCAGAGAGGCGCCAGTCAGCTCACTCCGTGTCTTGTCCACAGGTGACACCCTAACACGTCGTGGCGGAGAGGACGTGGCGGGGACGATGTGGCCCACACAGCACCGGCCTATAGTGCTCAGGTTCGCGGGCTACTAGCCGAGTGCCCAGCACGTCTCCATACAACAGGGCCTTTGGAAGCATTCTAACACCGTGCCGTGAACTCCCTGTTCTGCTTGGGAAGGCATCACGTGACTGGGGCCGGCAAAGTTAAACTCTGTCAAGAAAAGGTTACGTGCCCTCGCTGGTGTGGCACATGCCTGGGTTGCAGGCTTTCCTTGTCCAGGGACAGCGTGGTCACCTGCAGGACGGCTTTCCGTGTCCCAGGCCTGTGGTTTGCACCTGTGTGCAGCCCAGCTGCTGCCCGGGCTGGGGCTCAGGGCTGAGCTTTCCTGGGATTTCGTGAGAACAAGGTGCGTCCCGGCCGGGCTCTGAGCACCCGAGGTGGGAAGACAGCAGGCGGCCATGCCCTTTGCCCCTCCGGTGCCAGGGCTTCCGCTGCCTTGTCGCCCTCATCTGGGACGTGGGAAGGGACAACACACTCATCCTTGTCATGGGCAGTGGCATGAGCATGGTACAGGCACAGGAGAGGCGGCGGCAACCACTCCCTGTGTTGGCTTCAGAGTAGCAGTGCTGGAGGCCGGCTGCACACCCGGCCGGGGCCCAGGGCCTGCCACCTGGTGCCGACACAGAGGCCACAGCTGTCTGTCTGCGACAAACGGGGGGACTCGGAGCCTTGACTTTGAACGCCGCCTTATGGGATGGGGATCTCCCCGGCTCTCCATCGGCCCGCAGCACAGAGTCCCTCCACGCGGCAGGCACGCCTCGGGGACACGGCCGCGCCCCCTCCTCTCTGCCGCACGGCCCTCCCCGACAGTCACAGGCACCTCAGGTGTCCCAGGGGTGCAGCGGGAAGCAGCCGCCCCTCTGCCTTCAGGTGTCCCGCGTGGCTCGCGTTGTCTTCCGGGATCGCTGTGAGCATCGCTGAGAGAGGTAAGTCCTCTGGTTGCTTACAGCTTGTGGATTGGCAACAGAATTTCCATGTTTCCTCTGTACTGTTTCTTGGACATTGACGCTAAGGAAAAGCTAACTTGTCTTTAAAACAGAGAACAGCGTAGACAGGCCCTGTCTGCCCAGCCGAGAAGGCGGAGCGCCGGCTCAGCACTCCCGGGGCCGGCTTCTGTGAAGATTGCCTTCTGCAGCCGCACCTCTGGACACAGCGACTGGTGTGAGCGGACTGGACAGCTCAAGCTGGGCCCACCCCCGACGGGGCCAGTGAGGGCCACAGCCATCCTAAAGGTGCCGTCTGTCCCTGAAAGGCAATCGCAGTCCACAGGGTGACAAATGGAGGCGTGACCCTCTGACCCCTGGCAACAACCGAATGCGTGGGCTGGGCGCCAACACCCTGAGGTGATTTGAGGCTCACGGCACTGCTCCCGCCCGGGCACAGCCGCCATCACCCTGCCCGCTCCCGGCCAGCGCCGGTGTTTCTTATGCGCCACGGAAACACAGCGGTGAGAGCTGCCTTCGCCAAGGTGCCTGCTCTGTGGGTGACGCTCTGCTCAGTGAGCCCGGAACGCAGGGCTGGGCCACCCGTGGAGGACGTCCCACTGGAGCGGAACCAACCGCAAAACCACACGCCGAGGAAACGTGGAGACAGGCCGGTTCTGGTTTCACATTTTCCCAATTTATAATCCTGGCAGCAACCGAAGGGGCAAAACCAACACAAAGTCCCGGGTTAAGGTTCCGGAGACACAAAAAGGAAACCACAGGCTGCCCGAGGGGCTAGCGGCCAGCGCCCGCGATGCCTCCTGGGGCCCACGCGCTCCCGGTGGCCGGCCCTGGGCGTTGCCTGGCTGTCACGCCCTCGGCTGCACAGGAGTGCAGGCCGCAGACCCTTGTCTCAATGAATCTTAGACGACGTTTGAGATCCAGACCGACTCCCTTCACAGAAAGGGGCGTGTGGGAGCCGAGACAGCGCCGCTCAGGAAAGCCCCCACGGGAGGCCCTCGCGTTTACAGAGAAGTCGCTGCCTTCGCGGGGTCAGGCGGGGGACGGCCACCGTGAGGCGTGACTGCGGGAGGAGAAGGGGGTTCAACAAAAGGAAGCCTTTGGTGACAGACAGACCCACACGTGGGCTCAGCCAGCGCCCGCGTCCCTTCAATGGCTCTGCTGGGCTGTCCTCTGTCCCCCGCAGACCCGACCACACGAGAGCGGCGGTACTCGGGCTGGGTCCTTGGCCGACCTGGGCGCCTCTCCCGACACTGAGGTCACAGGTCATCCAAGGTCATGGGTCACTCCCACGGGAGGCTGACCAATGCCGACCGGAGGATGTTTTTTCCCATTGATATTGAGAGACAGAGACAGGCAGAGAAGCATCGCTGTGAGGGATACGCATCGACTCTTGCCTCCCGCCTGCACCCGGACCGGGGTCGGGATCGAGCCTGTGCCCCTTCGGTGTGCAGGCTGATGTTCTAACCACTGAGCCACTGCCGGGCCCCAATGCCTGCTCTGCAGGAGGGAGAAAGCCAATGTGTGTGAAGTAACCCCCCCCCCCCCATACATTCCCCCGAGCGCGGAGGGAGAGCACTTATTTCTGGCCCCCGGCAGGATGTGTCTCCAGGATGCTTTCCCCGGAGATGCGCCGCCGCCCCTGTGCCTGCTCTGCACCCCATTCGGTGTAGGGTCCGCCGGTGCCGAGGAAGCTGTGAGGACCCAGTGAGAGAAGGGCAGGCCCCACGGGAGAGGGACAGGCCTTGCAGGTCCCTCTCCACGGAGCAGCGTCCGTGCGCAGCGGCTCCTGGGGGGCAGGTGCTCGGGAGTCACTGTGTCTCAGGAGCAGGAAGCCCACTGTCTGTGGAGGGAAAACAGCCCAAGACAGACGCAGGTCCACACGGCCGACCAGGGCCGACGGCAGGGACGGGCCCGGCTGTCTGGTCTGCCCCACAGCTCTGCAGCTTTGACTCAGTTTGTCGTCGTAAAGTGGGACGATGGTCACCGCTGCTCGAGTTAAGGGGGTTTGGAGGGTGAATGTGCGGGAAGACCCGACATGCTGGCGCACAGGGAACGCGCGGGCACTGAGCTGGGCCGAGGCTCCCGGGTCTCCTCAGGGAGACAGGAGCAGAGGCGACAGGGCGGCCTGGGCCCAGCCCCGCCCCTCCGGACGCGGCTCCCGGCCAGGCCGAGCCCTCAGTCCTCAGGAGGAGAATCTCTCCCAAGGGCAGTGGGGTTTGTAGGAAGAAAGAGCAGCTGGTTTGCAGTCCCCGAATGTAAATGCTCAATCACAGAAGAATCAGACACGTGACGTTTGTGCCACGTTGTTAAAAATATCCAAACAGCATATTGCTTGTCAAGAAAGAAACCAGGGGGCCTGCTCTGGGCGTGCAGACTCCCCACCAGGAAAGTGCAAGAATCGAGCTCTGCAGCCCTTGGCTGCCTCCGGCACGTGTAGCCCCGCGGGCACCGGCCCTGCCCACCCCAGCACCTGGGCAGCTCCCCCACAGCACTCGGCACAGGATTTACTTAAGCCCAGA